TCATCTAGAAAATTCCTGATTACTTCCTACTGCATTCAAAGGGAAGGTATCCACACTCCACCAGTGATAGAAGAAAAGTGCGGCACAGTGATTTCGTCCCATGGCCGATCACTTCCATTGTTTCCTTTCTGGCACTCACAATTAAAAAAAAAAAAAAGTTCAAGGACTGAATCTTAAGGTTCTCCAGTGAGGTTAATAAATGGCACCTACCACAAGAAAATTGTTTCTTCCTAGCACAACAAAGAGGCCGAATATAATAAGCATATCTATAGATGAAAACACCTTAATTTGTTTTAATTTTAATTCTAATTTCATTGATAAAGATATTAAGTAAAATCTTTATTGCAGGCTTCCACTGAGGGTTAGAGAAATTAAATCAACTTTCAAACTAACTTTGCAAACGTGTGAAGAAACTATTAGCCACAATTTCCATGAGCAGATATACTATGGTAAATCAAATAATCTAAATTCCCATAAGAACAAATGACACACCTAATATTCAATAATTCAATCACTGTTTGATCCCAAATCTACATAGTTTCTCCTAGAGCATAACATATATTCAATCTCTGTGCTAACCCAATAGTAACCGACCTGTTTCGTTAAACATTTCTAAGTATCTGCACCTGCTTTCCCTACTTACTCTGCACTTGCTAGCCTACCCTAATCCCCATGTGTAAAGTGTATCTACACTTTAGCCATGGCTCTTTATCCACACAAGAGCCATACACCTCTTAAATAAAGCTTTCTCATTTTATACTCTTAACTGAATTGTGTTTTGATATTCTGGGGTGGGAAGGGGAGGATGATGACAAGGGGAAATTCTAGACTTAGAATTTACAGGAAAGTGCTCTTCTGATGAACCAGATCCTAGATTTTTCCATTATTTTTATCTTTAGACATGATAAAAAAAAAAAAATCTTTCTACATTGCTCAGGGTTGCCTTGAACTCATTATGAAGGTCATTCGGATCCTTAACTTGCAATCCTCCTGCCTAAGCCTCCCAAGTAGCTAACGATACAGGCCTAGGTTACCATGCCAAGCTATGCTTTACTTTCTAAAACAGCTAGCTTTTGACCTGCTAAACCTGGGTATTAGATTATCCTTTAACTTTTGTTTTGTTTTTTTTTTAAATATCTTATTTATTAATTTTATTTTAATTTATGTGTGCAAGTATATTGCCAGCATGTATCTAAGTGCAACCCTGTCTTGTAAAGCCCACAGAGGTCAGAAGAGGGTGTCAGATCTCCTGGAACTGGAGTTGAGGACAGTTGTTAGCTGCCATATGGGTGCTGGGATTCAAACCCAGGTCTTCTGCAAGAAAAACCAGTGTTCTTAACTGCTGAGCCATCTCTCCAGACCCTTTTGTTTGTTTTCTGTTGTTGTTCTTTGTTTTTTGAGATTAGGTTTCATCACTTAGCCCAGGCTAGCTTTAAACTTCAAAATCTCCTGCCTTGGGCTCCCAAGTGATGAGATTCCAGACATGTGCCACTGTGCTTGGCTTTATCCTTATATCAATTATATCTTTTCATGTAATAGTTTGGATTCCATAACTAATTAGAATTAAACTTACAAATAAAGTAAAAAAAAAAAAAATGTTCTTCCAAACACAGCAGAAATCTATAAAATCTCCCATAGTTTTTAATCCAATTTAAACATTTGATAGCAATGAGAAACACTGAATCTAAATGAATGTTAATGCTCTAAATATAAAACTAAGATAATCTGGGGGAGTTAAAAATGGAAAATAGGGGGCTGGAAAGATGGCTCTGAAGTTAAGACCACTGACTGCTCTTGCAGATGACACAGCAGCTAGTAATCATCTGTATCTCCAGTTCCACGGACATTGCATGACATGGGAACACACACGCAGGCAAAACACTCATATACATAAAATGAAAATAATAAAATATTTTAAAAATTAAAAGAAATGAAAAAGGAACAGGTAAAACTCAGTGGTGCACACCTTTAATTTTAGCACTTAGGAGGCAGAGGCAAACGGATCTCTGTGAGTGCCAGACTAGCCTCCTCTATTTACAGAGTTCCAGGCCAACCAGGGCTATACAGTGAGACCCTTTCACAGGAAAAAAATAAAATAAAAATCATATTATAAGGCAAGTCTGCAGACCAGGTAAGAATACCTAAGAATGTTAATCACACATGGGAGTGTGTGTAAAAAACAGCTCACCCTGGTGAATCACATTAGCTTAATCAATAAATCTCAGAGGAGGAAAGGCAAAGTAAAATAAGTGATCTCTGTAAAATTGAGGGCAGGCTGGTCTAAAAATGGGTTTCAGGGTCAACTGTATCCTATATGGAGACCCTGTTCAAAAGACCAAAACACCAACAAAAAAACAAACAAAAAAATTGCAATCTAGAAGGCATATGGAGGTGCATCACCATTTGCTGCATACTTCTCGTTTCCACCTGTTTCTAAGTTAGCTCATTCCCATAATGATCCCCAGTACTCACTTGCAAGAGATGCAAGGTGAGGCTGAATGTGTATCTCCTTAAGAAGCACTGCAGAAGGAAGGTGGATGGTAAGGTCACACCACGCCTCCTCCGGCAAAAAGATGTAGGACCAAGCAGCAGAGCGAGCTCTTCGATGCGGTGGTGTGGCTTGCAAAAGTACCTCAGCTGGTTGGGCAGTAGGGCTACTAGAAGTGATTGTGCCTGTAAGAAAATAATTTAAACAAAAGATCAATTGTGAAAAAGTGTAGTAAGACACTTAGAAATATTCAAATGATACTATGATACTTAAAACTATAAAAATTGGTAGAGGGGCTGGAGAGATGGCTCAGCGGTTAAGAACACTGGCTGTTCTTGCAGAGGACGCGAGTTCAAATCCCAGCACCCACATGGCAGCTAACAACTGTTCCTAACTCCAGTTCCAGGGGATCCAACAGCCTCTTCTGACCACTGCCGGCATTGCACAACACGGGTGCACTTACCTACATGCAGGCAATACATGCATATATATAAAATAAAAATTATAAATATTTTTTAAAAATTGATAGACAACATGAACATTTGGTGCTGTTGCTACACGTTTCAGCAATGAAACATGATTACCAGAGCAGTCTGAACCTACATTTTTCAGGCTCAGATACCAGGATTCTTGTTTTCAAAGTGTTGTCAACAGCTTTACTTGGACCAGAATCAAGACCTTTCAAGAGGACAGCCAGTCAACTGACAAGATGACAAGTTCATTATTCATGTGACAAATGATTAATTGGTGGCCACAAATCTAGAGTAATTTGCTAATTATTTAAAAGCTACTCTTCATCTAAGATGTCCATATTGATGAATTAAAAATGAGAAAAAAAATGAAATACTGCAGAAAGGAATAAACATCTAAATTTAAAACTTAAAAGACAGACCTTAAGTCTCCTCAAACTAGTGAACATTTATAGAGAAAATGACCTAAGAATTTTGTAATTGCATCAGCTGTGCATCTATTTAAACGTGGAAGTCAAAAGGAAGGGTCTGCTTAAAAGAACTATTAAAGCCAGGCATGGTGGTATATGCCTTTAGTCTCAGCACAGCTCTAGGTGAGTTCCAAGCCAGCTGGACCTTCAGGGAGACCCTATCTCAAAAAGAACAACAACCTGTTAAAACCGTCCCACCTTCCTTCTAATCAGTAGAAATGTTTTGCTATAAAATGCCTACAAAGAAATTTTGCTTCAAGTCAACCAAGAAACAGAGTCATCTCATAGTAATAGAATATAGTAACATTTTTCTTACCAAGAGGTGCAAAGTTATGGATCCCTTCTGCATTGTCAGGCTCCGAGGCTAGGATTCTTGTTTTCAAAGTGCTGTCGACTGCTTTATTTGGACCAGAATCAAGAAACTTCATAATAGTTGATACCATACTTCTTGCAGTGTTCACAATAGCCCTCGTACTGGTAACCATGTTGTTGCAAATGAGCTGAACGCCACCTAAATTTACAAAGAATACTAAATGAAAACCATCTTAGAATAGATGATCTGACATCAAGAGTGAACTTTATAGACTACAAAAATGAACATACATGTAATAACAAATGATAATACTAAAGTGACAGTTTCTGGACTTTGATCTTACCCATGTCGTGGAATGCTCTCAAGGCATCACTAGTATCCAGCACTCTCAAAATAAACCAAAGTAATGGTTCAGATAGCTGGCACGTAGCCAGAGAGCCCTAAAAATAAATTAAAACAATGTGATTGTACAAAGCCCTGTGAACTGGGACAACTACATTCCTTAATGGACACAATAGTTTTCCTTTTTTTTTTTTTCTCATCTTTTTGAGACAGGGTTTCCCTATAGCCCCTACTGGCCTGGAACTCACTCTGTAGAGCAGGCTGGCCTGGAACTCAAAAAGATCCCCCTGCCTTTGCCTCAAGGGTGATGGGATTAAAGGTGTGCATCACCACAGCTGAATACAATATTTTTTTTCTTTTTTTAAAAAAATATTTTATTTTATTTATTTTTATTTTATGTGTATGAGTGCATTGCCTGCATGTAGGTAAGTGCACCCGTGTCGTGCAATGACCGTGGAGGACAGAAGAGGCTGTTGGATCCCCTGGAACTAGAGTTACAGACAGTTGTTAGCTGCCATGTGGGTGCTAGGATTAAAATCCAGATCTTCTGCAAGAACAGCCAGTGTTCTTAACCACTGAGCCATCTCTCCAGCCCCTGAATACAATATTCTTTTATAATTAATTTTCGTAAATTGACAACTTTTAAAATATCAAATATTTCTAGGCCACACAGTACTACTCAATAAGACCCTGCCTCAAAAGAAACCCAAACCAAACTAAACAAAACAACACCCCCCCCCAAAAACCCCACTAAATACAAAGAAATCTTACCTGAATGAACTAAGACAACTATCTATGAATCAAGGCTTTTTTTTGGGGGGGGGGGTGTTATGTTTGTGTTTGTTTGTTTGTTTGTTTTTGGTCATTTTGAGACAGGGTCTCCTGTAGTCCCAGATGGTCTAGAACTTGCTATGTAGGCCAGGCTAGCCTTGAACTCACAGAGAGTAGCCTGCCTCTGCCTCCCAAGTGCTGGGATTAAAGGCATATACCACCAGGCTTGGCTCTTTTTGGTGTTTTTTTGAGACAGGGTCTCCCTATAGCCCCAGCTGACCTGGAACTCACTATGTAGACCAGGCTGGCCTTGAACTTACAGAGATCTGGCATGTGTCACCATGCCCCAGCCAAATCAATAAATATTTTAACTTCACCTATTATCATTCTTTACCAGAATGTGTATGTACTTTGGCTTCCACTGAACGCTAATTTCACTGAGTATCTGGAAGTTTTCAAATTATTCAGATATTTTCCAAAGGAAAAATGTAATTACATTTAAAACAGGGGCTGAAGAGGTAGATTAACCACAATTAGCCTATCAACAGCCAGCATTACCTTCCTAATTCTAATAATACTTACTATCAACCGTTCAGAGCATGCATTGCACTTGCAGAGGACCTGATTTCAATTCCTACCACCCACATCAGGTGGCTTACCTCCAGGACCAGGGGGATTCAAAGCCTCTACCCTTTGTGGGCTCATCCACTCACATGTATATACCCCCACAACAGATATCAAATTGACACAGACACATAATTTAAGATACAAATTAAAAAAAAACAAAAAACAAAAACTCCATAGGGCTAGTGAGCTGGCACAATGAATAAAGGCACACGTTCCCAAGTCTGAGGACCTTAGTTTGGCTCCCCAGGATGGACATGGTGGAAGGAGAGAAACAGAGGCTGGAGTTGTGGGTGATTCCCATGAATCACCTGGCCAGCAGCTGGTTAAAAAAACAATAGTCCACTCTAAAACCTGTGATGGTGAGACACTAACAACCAAGGGAACTGTGCTAGAGGCTGTGACTGAAAATAATCTAGTTACTGATGGTGTGTATGAGGGAAATTGGGCTTGCTCTACCTGCTACCTCATCGCTCAGAATCACATATGACAAGTTAGATGCCTCACCAATGGGGAGTGAGAAGTTTGTTCTGACTTATGCATTAACAGAAAGATTACGACTTGACTGCCAACTCTAAGGGTATGGACAATGTAACTGTGTACCTGATGTAGAGGCTGATGTGAAACAATCTACTGACATAGGCAAGAATTCCCAAGGTATGATACAAAGGAATATTTTTTTTTTTCTTTTTTGAAAAAAAATGTGCCTGTAACTCCAGCTGGCCTGGAACTCACTATGTAGACCAGGCTGGCTTTGAACTCACAGAGATCCGCTTGCCTCTGCCTCCTGAGTGCTGGGATTAAAGGCATGTGCCACCATACCCAGCTAAAAAGAAATGTTTTAATGACAGTTCACCTATAATTACTTCAAAATATAATTAAATGAGAACAAGGTAGGATGGATTTTTAATTATGAGTAACTGTACTATCTTTAATTTGCTTTGTGTAACTATTCAGTTTGGTAGTAATATAAGTTTGCAGTTTTTACTTTTTTGTTGTTGTTGTTTTCTCTGTGTGTGTTTGCATCTGTCTGTCTTTTTTATTTTTGAGACAGGGTATCCATATAGCCCCTACTGGTCTGCATGCAATTTGCTAACAAAGACCAGTCTGGCCTCAATTTCACAGATATTTACCTGGTTCTGCCTCCTGAGTGCTGGGATTGATGGTGTGCACCACCAAGAGAGACTAGTCTAGTCTACATAGTGAGTTATATGCTAGCTGGAGCAAAAAGAGAACCTGTCTCAAAAAACAAAACACCAAAGAACTCCACAAGCCCCGCTCCCAAAGCCTCATAAAATTCACAGTACTCATCCACTGACTTGTTTTCTTTCCCGATATATTCCCAATATATTACAAAAATCCTAATTTTCTCTGTTCTATATATAATCTTCTACTTGCATTACCAAAAACTACTCCAATTACTACAGCTATTGCTGGATTGAACTTACCTGTCTGCCCATGTATCCACAAGCCATGTAGGTCAAAATTGGCTGCAGCATCATGTGGACCGTAGAGGCTTTCTTACTAAGTGTTGTCAGTATGGTAAATAGTCCATCTCCGACTGATATGGCATCTAATCCACCATGGAAGTTTTCATGTTTGGTGAGATGTAAGCCACTTGCACCTGGTTTAATAAAAGATTACACATTCTTTAAAATAAAAACCAGCAATAAACAGTTTTTAAAAAGCAGTTTTCTCAAAAGGACTGAAGAATGATGGGTACACGTTAGTCTGTCATCCCTGCCCCCCCGCCCCCCGCCCCTGCCTCAGCATGAGCCTATTAAGAATACAGTATCTCTAGTACTATCTAGAAAACTGTCATTTGTGGCATCTTTTTACACAAGATTTTACATTGTGGTTACTATAAATAGCTGCTCTGACCATGCGTGGTTGTAATCCCAGCACTCTGTGAGTTCAAAGCCAGCCTGGTCTACATAGCATGGTTCCAGGCAAGCTGGGGCTACAGGGAGACCCTGCTTCAAAAAAGGCCAAAAAAAAAAAAAGCTGCTGTTATTTGAGGAAGGTAACATCACTCTATCAGCTTTGTATCAACAAGAAAATGAAGACAAAATAATTGATGTTACTATGTAACTCTGTATTTTAACAGCTAACCAAAAAGATGTGGTGATAAAGAAAGAAATACCAGTAGGCAACAATATACCAGAAACAGACTGTTGGTTTATCAAAGTTCAATAATTTCTTAAAGCAATGCAATAAATTATATAGAAAGGTCAAACAATAGTACATAAATGTATAATGAAATACATGTTATAAAAGAATTCTGCATTTAGATACAAATTTTCACACTCAAGCCTGATGTTTTAATCTTGATTTTCTTAACCGAGTTACTTTCCTATTTTTTCTTAGTTTTTTAACTGACGCATAAAATTTTTTGATACTGCATTTTAAGTAAAGCCACTTTATTAGAGTATTTACAAATAACATCAGTTATAAGAATCTTATAATAAAGCAAAATGAAATACGTGTAGTACCAGGAAAAGTTTAAGATAAGTACTCCAAATACATACCAATTATCATTGCCATGGCACTGCTATTACACAGGCCTAGAGCAGACAAAATCTGGCTCATAATCTGTTGGTTGGCTAAGACTAAATCAGCAACATATGCAGGAGATCCTGGAATACTGGTACTGCTTCCATTGACATCTTTGCTTCCCGAGACTTTTTCTTCATCTGAAACACTATCTGTTGTATTGGTGGTCACAGACACTCTTGCGCTGTATTCCCTATTGCCTGAAAGAGGCAGCTGTACTAAAATGTTAACAAGTTTTAACAAATCAAACATGAGTTGATCTCTTGTCATTTCACCACAAACTGCTTTTGCATCACCTGGACGAATGAGGTTGGCAAAGAGTCCCCCAAAGCATGCTCGAGCACCCACGGAGCTGTCTGATCCACTTCTAGACATTACTTTGTCTGAGCAAGTGATATAGTGATGTACCAAGAAGGTGACAGACTCTATCACAGCAGAAATTGTGCTAACTGAGACAACTTCAAAATTCTGCTCCAAAGTAAATTCTAACAGCTTTATTTGGGCATCAAGAGGTCCTTGACCGGTCTGGAAGGCGCCCCTGTAAAAAAGAAAAGGGGGAGGGGGGAAGAGACATAGGATTAAAAATTAAGCCACTTTAAGTAGTTTTGAAAGATCACCTATCACAAATCCAGAAACTAAAAGAGTAATTCATCTGGCAGTTTTTAATCCTCCCCAAGTCTTCTGTTCTTTCCTCCATTTTATAATAAACTAAAATTACCTCCCTTCTAAATTGAAAATGAAGAGATAAAGAAATTTAAATTATTTTAAAACAGACTAAAATACTTTTTATATCACAAGGCATTTTCTATAATGGTCATTTGTATACTCTAAGAACACTAATTAATTCAGACTTCATTTAAGTTTTTCTCCAGTTGGGTCTACTACTCAGTTGAAGAGCTCTTGTCTTGCATGCCTGAGGCCCTAAGATATTAAATAATGATGACAAACGAATCAGTAATATGATGTGTGATGTTAGAACATTCAGTGAAGTTCAAGAACCAACAAATAGCATGACTACAGCTTTTCCTTTTACCATACTAGATCATTTTCTTTACTGAAGATTCCTATGCGAGATTACTGTGTTTACTTTTTGGTAAGCTATATTTTTATGGCTTTCTTATTATATATGAAAATTATTGGTACCTTTATTTCCCTGTATCTCAAAATAATTTAAGTAGCCTAAAAACGAATTGACCTAAAAATCTGAGCTAATTTATGAGACCATTAAAAGTAAACAATGTTTTGATATGCTATATTTCTACTACAGAAAACTATGGGACTTGAAAAGACCCACAATGAAATGAAATGCAAATGATCAGAAAACTCTTGGTTCATAGGCCCTTAAGCCAACTATCCTCTAGTCTATTTGTTCTCAAATAAACCCACAATTAGTATTAAATAAAAGTATATTTGGGAGATTCCATATCATTTCTACATCAGGACATGTGTGTAAAGAGTACATACTGTAATTTACCTTTCTGTTGAAAGTATATGAATCAACTTCAGCAAAAATTCACTGAATATCTGAGGACATGTTGAAGATAGATGCACTTGTAATCGGGTAAGAAATTCTTGCATAGCTTGTGTAGCTGTAGGGCCAACCTAAAGAGAAATGCATATCCACTCAAAACTGCTTTGTATGCCACTGACAGAAGCATTCATTTTTACAGTATCAGGTATACAGTCAGGTATCAGTATCAGATGCAGTCAGGAGCTACACTCCTACAACTTTTCAAGTAAGAACAAAATATTACACTGGCTGAATAAAGCCAATTCACTTTGTATGTTTTCATATACTTAATGAAATCTCTAATGGAGACAATATTTCACTATGCTATGTCTTACAATTTACATAAGGCTTATATAATTCAAAATAGATGATGTGCTTAAATTACACAAACTGTCATTTTTAATACTTTCCAAACTACAAGAACTGCTTTTGCATTTTCATGAACAACCTTATTAAAAATATGTGAATTTTAAACAGAAGACCCCGAATTCAGATAGGGTAAGTGACTTACTTACCTATGGCATGTTTCAAAACCTTGAAGAGAATGCACTAAAGAAAGCAAAACAGTAACAACCCTAACATTAAAAAGAGAGCTATACTAAATCAGAAAAACTTGCTTTCCCAAACTTCTATCTCACTGACCATAGATCTGACAATGAATGCCACTATCAGTGACCTGAGTGTGCTGTAGATTGAGGATATTTCAGCAGGGTGTTTTTAAGCCTGATCATAGTCTGCTTTGACAGACAAACAGAACTACAGAGGAATTTTGGGAAAATAAAATATAATAAAATAAACCACTATTTTAATATTAAGTTAATTACTAATACCAAACAAATGAATCATAACTTTTTTTTTTTTTTTGTCTTTTTGAAACAGGATTTCCCTGCAGTCCCAGCTGGCCTGGAACTCACTGTTAGGACCAGGATGGCCTTGAACTCACAGAGATCCACCTGCCTCTGCCTCCCAAGTGCTGGGAATACAGGCATGCACCACCATGCCCGGCTTTATACCATTCTTAATAACCATATTTCTGATAGAAAACCAAGCTACCACGAGAAAAACTTGATTTTCTAATTATTTTTACTATGTGGCTGGGGGAGAGGAGAACACAGACTTGCTTCCTGCTATCTACCTCTACAAGAACGGTTTTGGGTGATGCAGCAAATGCATGCTTTTTTACAGATAATCTAGTAAGGCTGGAATTAGTGGTCACAGAATTCAAATTCAATTTTTTTGCATACTAATCCCTCATTATCATGCTTCTTCTCCCACAAAAACCCAGCCCCACTCATAACTACTTTCTTTTTTTCTTGTCCTGCTTGTTTTATTATCTAAAAAGTAAACTATATTCAGTATTGGAGTGCTGATAAAAAGTAACCACCAGAATTTAAAACCGGTGAAGGCAGAGATTCTGTCATGTAAGTACTTACTCTAACACTGAGAAAACTAGCTAGGTCTAGAACACTGAAGCTGTGTTGGATGGTTTTGGCTGTCAAGTTGACACAGCTGGGAAAAGGGAATCTCAACTGAGAAATTTCCTCTATCAAACTGGCCTGTAGGCATGTTTATGAGGCATTTTCTTGATTGTTTAAAGATGTGAGAGTGTAAAGCCCAATGTGGGAGGTGCCACCTTTGGCAAGTGGTCCTGAGTTGTAAAAGAAAGCAGGCTGAGCAAGGTCCAGGGGAACAAGGCAGCATTCCACTATGGTCACTGCTTCAGTTCCTGCCTCAGCTTCCCTTCAGAATAGACTGTTGAGTTATAAGCTTACAGCGATAGAAAGCAAGCTATAACAGATACCTATTAAAGGTATCAAGGACTTGCTTAATAAGTTAAATAAGAGAAGATATGAGATGGTTATGGGCTATAAATCTCAATCAGAACTTCCTTGAAAGGAAACCAGGCTAAGAATTTTAAAACTAATCAAAGACCAGCAAGATGGCTTAGGAGGTAAAGATACTTTCCTCCAAGCCTGACAACGAGAGTTCAGTTCCCAGAATCAACCTAGTAAAAGAACCCTGAAAGTTATTCTCTGATCTCCAAACATGCACTGTGGAACATATGCCCCCACACAAAAATAAATGAGTAAGTGCAATAAAAATCTTAAAAACTATCAAGTTAAGGGATCTTGAAAAGCCTTCATTAAAAGATTTGATTGTCAGAGGCCAATGAGATGGCTTAGCAGCACCTGCTGCCCCTGAGCCTGTTGACTTGAGCTCAATCCCCAGAACCCATATGATGGAGAGAACTGACTCAGCAAGTGTCATCTGACTACCACACTCTACATACATGCTGGGACACACACACACTAAGTAGATAAAAATGTAAAAGCAAGCACAAACTCTTAAAAAAGACTTGACTACTAAATATATTCCATTAAGGATCATAATTATGTATCAATATTTAAACATAGTAAGAAAGTATGAAGGAAACCTACAATAAGAGGGAAAATGATTAAGCAAAATTAATTGTTCATTTTAATACCAGTGCTCATGTAAGATATAGGAAAATTTAATTTCAAAATATCAAATCCATCCCTGATTTCTAGTATTTATTCAGAATGTTTCTTGTTATTTTAAGAAAACAACAACAAAAGTATCACACAGAAAAGCTTAGTTCATTTCATGACATTACTTTTCATGAATTAATTCAGCATAAATACATCAACATTATAAATAATATAGTTACACTGATAATACAAAGGCTATTATTTACTACTTAACAATAAAACTTTTACATAGTTACACTTTACAAATCTTGTTTATTGAACGGCAGGGTACATCACTCTTTAAAAGCTGTATCACCTGTGGGCTGTGTTGATTAGTTCCATGTGGACTGGTACCAGAAAGAAATTTCACTAACACGTGAATAAGGTTTGGATCTGAGACCAATAAATGAGCAGTACTCTCCTGATTTCCGATGGAACTGCTGGAACCAGCTATTTGAAAAAGAAAGAAAGAAATAACCCCTAGCAAATGGGCCATAAATTAATAAAATGAAGTACATATAAGCATTTTTTTCAGATGCAAAGAAAAATCATACATTCTTTATCAAAAAAGTTCAAGTGGGCCTGGCAGTTCAGGCCTATAATTACAGCTATCAGGGATGTTGAGGTTAAGAGGAGAAATGACACATTCAAGGACTGCTGGGGTGACAAAGGGAGTTCAAAGCTAGTCTGGGCAAATCAATGAGACCCTATCTTATAACAGAAAGTACAAAAGAGGGCTGCCAGCACATTGGCAGTTTCTGCTCACATGCATGAAGCCCTAGGCTCAACAATCTCTACCTGAAGGACTGACCTGCATTTCTGTCCCCATCTATCACTTATCTCCTCTAACTTCTCTTCAGACTACAAAAACACACTGAGCCGAATGTATCTTTAACAGACAAGTGAAAAAGACCTAAACCTGAACTGTCCTATTTTAGATGAACTACCTTACCTTTCCAGAAACATAAAAAGATATACATTCCAGGGAAGTTTTAACTAAATTCTCTAAGATAAATTGAGACCAAAGCTATGCCTTTTTGTCATATACAGGTTATATTTTCTGAATTAATAGACAACATACCCTTTGAATTAAATCTATCTTCATTATCAGATAGTGGTATTTTTTTCTCATTTAAGAGAAATAAATTTCAAACAAGAAAATGGGAAAGTACTCGATTATTACTATGAAAGAACTTTACATTCAAGAAATTATCGTAAACATGAAATCCAACCAACTACTGTTATAACCTAGAGACTTTTAACATGAAGAATTAAGTACCAAGTCATTTATATAAATATTTCATTTTTTTGGAAGATATGCCTTAATGATTTAATATTAAGAATATTAAAGTATTTGTCAGAGATTTAAACAAATTTTTGAACTTACAATTAAGCTGCATATTTGTCATGAGTGTTAGACTATGAAGTACAAGGCACCATGTCCGGAGCAAAGTACTGGGATACCAAGCTAGCACTGTGAGAAAGCTGGTTATTGATGCTACACAGAAGAGAAATGGGAAATTTATTTACTCAGGATAACTGAATGTTTATTAATGATCAAAAAACACAACAATGAATTAAAAAGACATGACTATTTCTTCAAAATTACCGCATGAACAAGTGTCTTCAAAATAGGCAAATGAAAAACATTCTCTACTAAATACAGCTGAAACTCAGAAGAGTTGGTTATTTAGGCAAAGTTTAAAGCTCAGATACATAAAATAAAATGTTCTTATTATAAGTCTGCTGTATTTTAAAATGAATGCAATTTGTGGAAAATTCAAATCCTATGGAACCAAAACTTCAAATCAAGGATACTGGAGAATCTAGGATGGATTAGACCAATCAAAACTAAACAACTTCAAAATCAAAGCACATACTTAAACAATAAACAATAATTAGGAAACATGGACGCTCAAGATAGGCGTTCAAGGTCAACGTAGTTTATACAGGTAGTTCCAGGCCAGCTGGGGCTATATAGTGAGATCTGACCCAAAACACAACAAAAACAAAGCAAAGCAAAAATTTTTTAAATTCATCTTACAAACTGCATATCAGGGCTCATGTTTCAATCCCAGCACTTAGGAGGCTGAAGCAGGAGAGCTGCCATGAAGTGAAGGCCAGGTTGGATTACATGATTCTAGAACATCCTCAGATATGGAGGACAATCTTTACTTAGACATAGCTAATTATTTTCCTATTAATCTGTTCCTGAGCCGGGCATGGTGGCACAGGCCTTTAATCCCAGTGCTTGGGAGGCAGAGGCAGGCAGATCTCTGTGAGTTCAAGGCTACCCTGGTCTACACAGTGAGTTCCAGGACAGCTGGGGCTACAGAGAGACCCTGTCTCAAAAAGACTATAGAAAAAAAAAAAAGTATTCCTGTACTTAGGCACTGGGAAAAAGTTAATGAACTGGTAATTTATCCAGAAAGGACTGACAGCTTTCTCTAGCTGATCATCTCTCCCACTGTTTGATTCATCTCAAAAACAAAAAAACACACTGAAACAACAAAGTACACACCTATTACAACATAACTATGTACAAGATAAAACTTTAAGAGAGTAACAGGTAAAGACTGCAAACATTATAAATTTTAATTGCACACAAGCACTACACATACCGGAGCTTTCTGTTCTTCTTAATTAGCAAGTATGTAAGAAAGTCTCTCCGCCCCCCTTTTAAGTTTAAGTTTACTTGACCTTTCAAATTTTCTTTTTTTGAAACAGTATCTCACTATGTAGACCTGGCTGGCCTCAAACTCACAGAGACTAGGCACCCTGTGCCTGAGATTAAAAGTGTACACCACCACATCTCTCTAGTTTTGATTCATACACTTGCATGATAGGAAATAGCTTGGTTCTAGAGATAGTGACTTTAGTTAAAGTCCTAGTTTTGTCTTATTTTTACTTTATTTTATATTAGTAACTTTGTAACCTTGACTAAGTTACTTAACATTTCTGTTCCAATTACATCATTTGCAAGATTGGAGAAATTTAAGCACTCATGGCTACACGGTTTTTCGTACAGTCTCCCAACCAGATTACGTACTAAAACAAACAACAAAACACCACAAAAGGACATTCCTCACATTTATTTGCAATTTCCTGTGCTGAGATTAAAGACATGTGCCACGATAAAAGACATCATAAAAAGCTTTTGCACTGAAACAGTACAACTCTAACAATAAAGACAATGTTTATTTAAAAATAATCATTACTATTTAAAACTTGACATTTGTACTCTACTGTTTTTTCAGTTAAGAAATCTTACCTTGATTTAATGAAATGACAGGTATTCGATTTGCATTATATAAAAAAATGTCTGCTCCATTCTCTTTGTTTCCAGATGAACTAGAATTCAGGCTCAATGTGAGCCACAACTGGAGAAGTGACTCCAACTTAAAAGAGAAAGAGCAACAGGGGGAAATGTGTTTATTAGATTACAAAGTACCCTTCAACCAAAAATCTCATGTTTAAAATCTTGTCATGAGTAAAGACTTTTCATTGTTAAATACTTCCTTCCAGCTACCTTAATTCAGGTGACAAGCAAAAAGATATTAAAATTATTGATGAAACAAAATTTAACGGAATCAAAATGTATAATTTACCTCATCTCACATTTACCTCAATTAAAAAGGTAAGTCTTCAAATCACATGATACATATAATATACAGTAGGAAGTAAAGCACTGTTTTAATTAATGAAAATAAAGAGAACAATAAACACAGATTAAAGCATTTCTCAGATTTTTCTCAATTGAATATAAAGCATCCTGGTCAGATAGTGAATGACCTCTCCACTTAGTTCCATCTCTTAACAGACTAGCAATATGTGAAAATATATGATTTACCCTAAAGTCATACCTGAACATGATGAACTTGCAACATGGAAAAAAGTTTATTGAAACAGACATTTAACATTGGCACAGATGATAACTGTATAATAAGCTGGTTGTTTGGGTTTGCTGCTTGTAAACTCCCTAGAATTGAATCATCAGTTCCAGTTGGAGACTGCGATACTGAAAAACAAACACAAGCACCATTTTATACCCAAGTTTCAGTACATGTGTGAACTGATTATTAATAGTTAAGCATAGGTTAAATTTTTTTAAATTAAAATTCAATTCTGGGGCTAAACAATGGTTCAGCAGTTGTGAACACATAGGGCTATTGCAGAGAAACTGAGTTCAGTTCCCAGCACCTACATGATGGCTCACCACCATCTGTAACTCCAGCTCCAAGAGATATGAGGTTCTCTCCTCGTCTCCCATGGTACTGCTGGTCTCTCGTGGGTACTGTTTTCATGTGGTACACATATATGTGCAGACAAAACACTCATACACAAAGTAAAAATATATCATTAAAAAAACAAAAAAAAATTCTATGCAATAGTTCTATTTTAGTATTTATGAAAATGGTTTTTATAACATTGCTAGAAAGTTAAGGAGACAGGAGAGAAGCATCAAAATTCACAGGAATAATTTCTATCTTTTCCCCCCCCCCTAATTAATAAAGGAGAAAAGAGAAGGAAAGAAAAATCTTGACTAATTACTGAGAACGCAGTTTAGAATACTCTACTATATAAAATAAATCAGTTCTTGTTTTATTTCTTTGAAGTGCTGGCTATTTAACTCAGGTCTATAGTTCATTAATTCATTAAAAAAAATATTTTATTGTTTTTATTTTACTTGTATGCCTGCATGTGTATTAGTGCACCCGTGTAGTGCAATGCCTGCAGAGGTCAGAAGAGGGCGTCAGATCCCCTGTAACTGGAGGAACAGATAGTTGTTAGCCACCATGTAAATGCTGAGAATTGAACTCAGGTCCTCTGCAAAAGCAGCAAGTGCTGTTTTTTTTTTGGGGGGGGGGGGGTTTTTTTTTGAGACAGGGTCTCCCCATAGTTCCAGCTGGCCTGGAACTCACTATGTAGACCAGGTTGGCCTCAAATTCACAGAGATCCGCCTGCATCTGCCTCCCTAGTCCTGGGATTAAAGGCATGCGCCACCACGCCCAGCACAGCAAACGCTTTTAACCACTGAGTGCATTAATTCTTAACCTCTAGACTCAACTGTACAGCTTTCAAAAGATCTGTTACCCAGTTTACACAAGGAGCAGTAAGAAAATATTATGGCTGGGCATGGTGGTACATGCCTTTAATCCTAGCACTGGGGAGGCAGAGGCCAGTGACTGAGGACAACTTGGTCTATATTAGACCAGGGACTACAGGGAAACCCTGCCTCAAAAAGACCAAACCAAAAAAAAGTTTGGTGTTTGATGTGGTTTAAATATGAAATGTCCCTTGCAGCATCATAAAGGAAGGAAGGAAGGAAGGAAGGAAGGAAGGAAGGAAGGAGGGAAGGAGGGAAGGAGGGAAGGAAGGAAGGAAATGTAATAGAGAGCAGAGAAATGCACAACACTGCATGTAGAAACCATCCACTTATAGACACCCAGGTATAGGACAGTAGACAAAAACTAGAAGATTAAGGGATGGAGATATTAATTTAAAAAAGACTGACAATAAATTATACTCAATAAGTGATATCAAACAATGAAATGAGCTTTTGGGTTAGTACTGAGTTGTCACTTGTCGTAGAGAGACTGGACCCAATAAAGGATTTCCACACAACATGGGAGAAAATAAACAACAATAATTTTAGTGTACTTATTAATATTATGGATTTTCTCCTGTTTTCAATATTTCCTATGGACAAGAAATACATATAAACTGCAATCTTCCTGTTTCCATAGGGAAAATTCAAAACCCCAAACTTATCTATTAAAATAACTTGTAACTTCTCCTACACAGACATGTGATTACCCTGGGTTTTACCAATTATCTCTAGTTCTTGATTCATTCAGCATCAGAGTGTGTAGTGATTTGCATAAGTAAAAAAAAAAAATAACCATTATCTTCTACTCAATAGCACATCTCCTCAAATTTTGTCTTTGCTAAACAGGGTGCTCCTCTCCAACTGCATTCCCCTGACAGAAGAAAATCCAGAAATGTGTTGGCAATAGCCAGATCTGTCAGGCCACCTGTTCTTGTCAAGACTTTAATTTGCTATCCTTTTGCTGTAACTAATACGTAACTCCTTTCTATTCTGGGGTTCCATAGGAATCTTTGACTGTCATTTCTCTTATACCTCCAGCCTAATCTTTCAGGATAAAGACTTTACTATTTATAAAAAGTCTACCATATCATCGGGCGTGATGGTGCACACCTTTAATCCCAGCACTCAGGAAGCAGAGGCAGGCAGATGTCTGTGAGTCCAAGGACAGCCTGGTCTACATAGTGAGTTCCAGGACAGCTGAGACTACAGGGAGACCCTGTCTTAAAAAAAAAAAAAACACACACACACACACACAAAAAAAACAAATAAAAAGTCTACCATATCATAATGCCAGTGATGAGCTATATGGTCTTAGAACTTCCTTAACCCTCATACAGCATAATAACAATAACATGGTTCAGGTCTTTGGATTAAGTTTGCAGGGAATTATTTGGCACACACTCTATATTTCCATTTATAAATCCTTTGTCTTATTTCAACATGCTACCAAGTTAGAGGAGCTGTGGGGCTATATACTCTTAAGTTCCCTCATATTTACAGCAAGTATTGAATTTTAAATTTTGACTTACTGAATATATGCTACTTAGTAAACCAATCTTTCATTGCAATAATCTAAGAATTATAATCACACTTACAGGTAGGAGATGTATTTGTCAATGCTTGTAAAATAGAATCAGCTTCCAGAGTTGACATCATTTTCAACATAAGTTCTGCTTGCTGCTCAAGTCCAACTTCTAGGCGAGCATCTAAAGCTAGATAAGGATGAGGAGATATTTGATTATTGTTATGACTCATGTCCTACCTACTACAGTAAAATGCCAATATTCTCAAAAAAGGGTGAGCCTTGAATGCCGGGAAAAGCAAGCCTGGCAGGCTTGTGATACAAGCACTAAAGCAGGGAGAACATCTGAGCAAGGGGTTTTAAAGATGGCAAATGGGTGAGAGATAGGTGGATTAAGTAAGTGACACAGTGGCAATGGAAACAAACACAAGATGGGTTTCTCCCTCAGACAAAAAGAGGTACAAATAAGAAGGGGAGAAAACTAAAATAACACCAGAGAGTGATAATAAATACATAAATGTTAACTGATGATACTCAATATAAGTGTGTAGAAAAACAGGTACGTGTACAAACTCTCTCTCTCTCTCTCTCTCTCTCTCTCTCTTCCTAACTCTGTCTACCAAGAGGGTATAGAAGCAATCACTAAAATATTATCTACCATCCATATCCTGGTTTCTTAACCATATTTTTCTTAACGCAATTTTTAAAAAATATTACATTATTGGGCATCCAAACTGCAGTCCTCATGCTTACACATCAACTGAGCCATAGATCCAGAAGCCACTGATAATATTTCATCTTAGTTAATTTTTTATTATTGTACCAAATATATATATATATATATATATATATATATATATATTATAAAAATCAAAAAAAAAAAAAAAATATTTTTATTTTCTGTGTATGAGTGTATTGCCTGCATGTATGTGAGCGCACCCGTGTCATGCAATGCCGCAGAGGTCAGAAGACGGCTTCATATTCCCCTGGAATTGGAGTTAAGGACGGTTCGTAGCCGCCCAGTGGGTGCTGGGAATTGAACCCGGGTTCTCTGCAACAGCAGTCAGTGCTCTTAACCGCTGAGCCATCTCTCCAGCCCCTTGAGACAATTCTTAAAAATATAGTACTTAAGAGAAAAGGCATTCCCAGAGTAGAGGATACAGCTGGGTTACTTGCAACTTAGGCTCACTGTCCAAAGGGGCTCCTGTCTTTCTTAATCTCAAGTAACTAACATCTGAATTCTCAAGACATTTCAAGAGCAACCTGAAGTGCCAAGAAAGGTACAGAAAACCCACAAGATAAAGGAACTATATATGCCAAATTAGGCACAAGAAGTCATCAAGACAGTGAAGATAATCAGTAAAGACATTTTAAGACAGGGGAAAAAATACAGCCAGTTTAGTGAAAATTCTAGTGCAATTTTCACTGTCAATGTAAAAAGGAAGAAAGCTTAAGGGTTTTCCTTGTTATATTGTCTTCAAAAGCCCCCTTGAAGGAAGTTACCAGAAATCGTAAGAGTAGTATCAGTTTAAATGTTTGGGAGTGTAAGCTGGGAGTGGTGGCGCACGCCTGTAGTCCCAGCACTACCTGGGAGGCAGGGGCAGGCAGATCTCTGTGAGTTTAAGGCCAGCCTGGTCTACATAGTGAGTTCCAGGACAGCTGGAGCTACAGGAAAATCCTGTTTCAAAAAAGACCAAAAACAAACAAACAAAAAAGAGCACGTCATAAAGCCAGAAACCATATTAAGAGAGATTCTACTGGTCATATCAGAAACAATTTATATATCAAAATAAATTAACGAGTATATTTAATGACAAATACTCATGAAAAGTGGTCAAAATTATGTTATACCTATGTTTTCCAATAAAAACAAATGACAAAAAACAATGTTAATAAATTGTAACATCTTTAATAAAAGAGGAAATCAGCACTGGGTGTCGTGGTACACAGCCTTAATCCTAACAGAGGCAGATGGATCTCTGTGAGATTGAGGCCAGCCTGTATATATAGCAAGTTCAGGCCATCTGGGTTTATAGGGAGAACCTGACCCCCGCCCCGCAAAAAAAAAAAAATAAAAAAAAATAAAATTGGAAATCAAGAACCCAGTCAGAATTTAATGAAAATATAGTCTAATCAATTTTTTAATTAAGAAATTCAGAGGAATGGGATGTTTTGCTTTTTTCAATGTGTATGTGTATACATACATACATTTGCCTTTAGAAGCTGTAATTCAATATGGCGTATCTTCCTCTAGGTACCTACTTTACTTTTTTTGAGACAGGGTCTCTCATTAAACATAGACCTTGCCCTTTTGCCTAAAGTGCCTGATCAGACAAAACCCTAAGATCCTTCTACCTCTACCTCCCCAGCACTGGATTACAAGCATGAACCACTATTTCTGGCTTTTAATATGGGTGCTGAGGATCTGAACTTAGGTCCACATGCTTGCACAGCAATCACTAGACCCAATCTCTCCCACCCAGAAAGGCATTTAAAAATATATATATTTTATTTTATTTTTTTGGTCTTTTTGAGACAGAGTCTCCCTGTAGCCCCAGCTGTCCTCAAACTCACTATGTAGACCAGGCTGGCCTTGAACTCACAGAGATCCATCTCCCTCTGCCTCCTGAGTGCTGGGATTAAAGGCATGTGCCACCACGCCCGGCTTATTTACTATTTTTATTTTATGTGTGTGAATGCATTGCCTACATGTACGTAAGTACACCCATGTCGTGTCCCTTGGAGGGCATCCATGTCTCTTGGAGGACAGACAAAGCTGTCAGATCCCCTGGAACTGGGGTTATAGACAGTTGTTAGCTGCCATGTGGATACTGGGATTCAAACCCAGGTCTTCTGCAAGAAGAGCCAGGGTTCTTAAACGCTGAACCATCTCTCCAGCCCCCAGGCAGGCTTTTTTTTTTTTTAGGCGTCCAGGTACTACTCTGCTACTCCAATGAATAAATAAATTTTTATGAAAGGGCAAAGAGCAGTTTTGCAATGAAGAAGTTTGTCAGACACTGCCACTGCCTAAACTAAGTATCTAAAGACCATGAGAGGAAAGTCGAAGTCATTGAATAAGATGCAAAGAAGAAAAACCTGACCATTATTTCTGTGATACTCCTGTCCAGGTGTGTGACCTTGACCTATACAATGAGGAAATAGAATATCCCTCAAATGAGTCTATAAGCTAACAAAATAACTGGCTTGGACTATCCAAAAGGATCAATATCATAAAGTCAACTTTCAGAAACTGCCAAGTTAAAGCCAGCAAATGAAATATGACAGACAACCAAATGTAATGCTTGATTTTTCACTGGGTCCCTGTGCATTAAAAACATTATTGCCAAAACTGGAATGGACTTTTCATATAAGATAATTGTAAAATTAATTTCCTATTTGGGGGGGGTTAGCCCCAGCTGTCCTGTAGACCAGGCTGGCCTTGAACTCACAGAGATCTGCCTGCCTCTGCCTCCCAAGGGCTGGGATTAAAGGCGGGTGCCTCCACACCCGGCTATTTCCTAATTTTTAAAAGGTTTTTTTGGGGGGGCCTCTGTACCTCCTCAGTGCCTCTGTCTCCCAATAGCTGGGATGAAAGGTGTGTGCCAGGTGCCCACAGAGGTCAGATCCCCTAGAAGTGCAGTTACAGATGGTTATGAGCATCTATGTGGGTAATGGGAGCCAAATCTGGATCCTCTGCAAAAGGAGTAGGTGCTCTTAACCACTGAATCATCTCTCTAGCCCTAATTTCCTAACTTTGATGAAATATGCTCCTTGATGTACTTCAGGAGAAAAACGCAATCTAATAAACTAAACCAAACCAATTAAAAAAAAAAGTCTAAAAATGTACTCTCAAATGGTTTAGGATAACATTCTCTCCAGTCAACTTCCAATATTTTATTATGTGCACAATTGCTAAAGTATGATATAGTCTACATAAATAAAAGGATGAAATAGTATCTCTGAAGCGGTTTTGTTGTGTTGAAGAATAAAACTTTATGGATGGGGAAATGGCTGTTATGTTTAGTGTGTAGTCATGAGGAACTGGGCTCAATTCCAACACCTTCTTGAAAAACTAGTGGGCATTGTATGGTGCATACGTAACCCCAGACTGGAACTAAAGACAGGGGGAGCCTAAAGGATTTCTGAGAACAATTGAGAAACACATTTGGAATGTGCCTCTGCCTCCCACCCATGTGCATACCCTGCCCCCATATACACAGATACAAACTAAGTAAACTTCAACAATAAATTACACGTATAATTATGTATTATCATTTCACAAGCCACAAAACCATCAAATAGTTTACGGTATTATTTTGACAGAGAAAAAAAGGTGGGTCATCAATAAATGGAAGCTCTTTAAACATACTGACAGAAACACAACTCTGAATGGCATGTATAGCACAGCTGTGATAGCAACCCAGCTAGTGCATACTAGATTCAACTTCTCTAAAGAAAAAATAAAACATAAATTTACAGCTTGTTTCAAAGAATAGGATATGCCTTAAAATACTCGCATGCGCACTTACCCTGAGATACTGAGACACTGACTGTCTGGGATCCGTTCTTCTCTGTGTTGGCTGGTGGCTTTGCTACAGGCATTCCCAGACCTCCAATATAAGGATTGTAATTGTAGGTACCATAATCAGCACCCCAATAGTCATACCACGTACTGCTTATGGGCTTAAAAAAATAAAAAGTGGAAAATGTGAATTGTTTGTCTCTTTACTGAATGACATATATTTAGGCATTTTAAGAAAACTAGAACTACATAATAAATGTTCTCCTTATCCTTTCAAATTCCCACAAGCAACTTACGATTTTAGTAATTGTTCTTTTTTTTTGTCTTTTTGAAGTAGGGTCTCCCTGTAGCCCCAGCTGTCCTGGAACTCACTATGTAGACCAGGCTGGCCTTGAAATCACAGAGATCCGCTTGCCTCTGCCTCCCAAGTGCTGGGACTACAGGTGTGTGCCACCATGCCCGGCTTCAAAAATGGTCCCGTCTGGGTTATTTAGAAAGACACTTTCTCAAACCACAAATATAATGAAAAAAAAGAAAAAGGGGGAGCTGATGAGGAGGGGTAAAGAGGGGAATAGAGGGAAGGGGAAGAAAGAACAGGAGAGTAGAGGAGAGATCTTGGGCAGAGCACAGCCAAGAGAAGACAAGTGAGCAGGTGTAAGTTCAGAGAGGTGGCGAGAGGCAAGGCCAGCTTGAGGTAGGAGGGAACTGGGTCAGGCAGCAAGCCCGGGAGAAGCATAAAAGAAATCCACAGAACTGAGAGGATTAGGCAGCAGTGCCTCCTCAGGTCCCATCAGTTTCTTGGCTCTAATGGCCCATGTACTATCTCAGTGGGTATAGGCAAAAAAACCGAAAAAAAAAAAAAAAAAAAAATCCAATATATCATACCTTAAAAACTTTGGCGGCAAGAGGATCCTTTTCTAAATCAATATCTAAAGGATCAATGTCAACTTCCATTAGATCTTGAAGCAGTTCAAGGTCAATTTCCTTGTCTTTTTCCAAAGACAGAGGTGGTGTACCTTCAAATAATTGAAGATTATTTTACTGGTAGAATATATTACATGAAATTTAACTGCTTTCAGTTGCAGAATAAAATTCTATGTTTGCATATAATATATGCCTACTCAAAATATATAAATATTTATATTGCAGTAATCAAATTCATCTCTACCACACACAATAAAAAGACCAATATAATAGTTGATTTCCTAAAGAGAAGAGTACTACATTACTGATTGTTCTTCAATTGAGTGGCATAAATTTTACTACTCAAAATAATCATTAGCATATCTAAAATAAGTAAATTATTTTGTTACATTCACTATATAACTCATTTTACAGTATTTCAAATAGTATTACATATTACATGCAATATCATCCAGCAAAGACTAATGGAACAAAGTTATAAGCCTACAACTTACATTATTTATCTATTAAGTATTAGAAACTACTTCACTGTAAGACGCCTTGAATTTTTTTTTTTTTAGTTTTATGTGTATGTGCGTATTGCCCGCATGTAGGTAAGTACACCAGTGTAGTGCAATGCCCGTGGAGATCAGAAGAAGCTGTCGGATTCCTTGGGTCTGGAGTTATGGACAGTTGTTAACTGCCATGTGGGTGCTGGGATTCAAACCTGGGTCTTCTGTAAGAACAACTAGTGTTCTTAACCACTGAGCCATCTCTCCAGCCCTGATGCCTTTAATTTTTAAAGCAGTTTTCTATCCTTTATGATTGCTTTTTACATCCTTTATTCAACATATATGCATAGAACATTCAGCAAATATAAAGCCTTTACTAGAGTTTCAGTATACGTACAATAAAACTAGTAAAACATCTCTTCATCATTCCATAGATTAAGAAAGGTTCAGGGGTGGGGGTATACAAAAATTAAGCTAACTACAACATGATGTGCTAACAGCACACAGATGGCAAAGCTCCAACTCTACTAGTAAAGATAGAACAAGCCTCTTGGCAGAGGGCATGAATTACATGCAAATAAAGAAGAGTCTATTCCAGGTAAAAAAGGTATTAGTTGGGCTGGAGAGATGGCTCAGTGGTTAACAGCACTGACTCCTCTTGCAGAGGACACTAGTTCGAGTCCCAGCACCCACATGGCAGCTATGAATTGTCCTTAACTCCAGTTCCAGGGGAATCCGAAGCTCTCTTCTGACCTCCACAGCGTTGCACAACATGGGTGTACTCACATACATACAGGCAATACACTCATACACATAAAATAAAAAAAAAATAATAAAAATTTAAAAAAATTTTTAAAAAGGTATTGGTGTAAAATAAATGAAATCATGAGGGAATATAAGATTAAAGAAAAAGTTGAAATTGCAGTCTGTCCCTGTGTCTCTGTCATAGACAGACACATACACACACGTGTTCAGTACTAACAAAAGTTTAGGTTTGAAAAGTATTATCCAAATGATCCAGATCACAAAGGGCTGTACATGTAAATATACGGTTTTTTTTTTAGTTTTTGAATTTTTTTTTTTACATTTTTGTACTGAATGTATTAGAGTAAGGAATTAAGAATTGTATTGAATGTAATAGAATTAAGAAACTAAGAATCTAAAAAGAACTCTAGCAAAAGTATGTAAACATATCCAAAGTGTGTACATTAAAGATAAGAGCATCACTTAGTAGCTCTAGAATGTAACCTAGCAACCTGAGTGTAACTGTGTGATTAGCCAAATGACGTAAGCAACTGATAAACATATGTTTGCCAAGCCATGCATAAGGACTATAAAAACCCAGAGGAAGATCAGTTCAGGGGCGCACATATGAGCTGAACTCCTGTCAGCTGTGTGGCCCCATCTTCTGACTGATCCTGTCTCTGGACCGTGAGAAAAAAAAAACTTC